TATCCCCTGTGTGCCTTGTCGACTCAGTTTGTCAATCTGTTTTTCAGTTCATATAAGTAAATAGAATAGAAGATGAGTCGACACATGTCAGAAAAAAATAACATGTGAATTGTCAAACGATTTTCGAGATCAATTATATTATGGTTGTGTTCCAAAATTCACTGCCCGCACTGAAAATCTATTATTATACTTTTACGTTACTTGCACTATTTACGTTACGTGCACTATATAGATTCTCAGCACTGACAGTGAATTTTGGAATAGCCTACATCAAAGTTATGGCATACAGCATAAGTTTACATCGATCTTTGTACGTTGACTTACAGCTACGACTTACATTTATAACTGTGTCGGAAACATTATGACAAGAAAATCTTTATATTCAAGCTCTAACACCGTTTAAACCAATGTTAACCTTTTCAAGATTTTAAATTTATAAGAAACCGGTCAATGCATATTATGTATAAATAAATATTAGAAAAAGATAGATTACCTTTTTAATTAACGAAGAATACGATGTCTTCCGTTGCTAGTAATAACTATTATACACCATACACCAGAAAAGACAGCGACAATAACGATTGCGGAAATCGTAATATATAGATGAATCAATACATCGATCAACACGGTGCGTTCAAAAAACTGATAATAAAGCCGCCCAACGAGCTCTCACTAGTCTCACTAGATGTTTATAATGTCCCTAAAAGGGACCCCTTCTAGGGACACCAAATCTTCATTATAATTGGTTTTTGTCTTTAGTTCGTTGTATAGTTCTATAAAAATCAGATAAGTGTGACCAGTTTTACCAGTCCTGATTGGACATCGCAAATGGCCAATCATGAGACTCATCGGTCAATCTCATGATTAGCCGCGTGAACGCAATTTATTCGAAAAACTACGCTCATTGGATATTACGCGTCACGTGCGACGTTTATCACGTTGACTGATATGTCGAAGCCACAAGGTTATTGGCTACTACCACATTGCATCCACATAAACATAATCTATGGTCTATTACATCTTGTCGCGCGGCAAATGGTGATGAAATAGTCTGTCATTTAAAAGACAAGTACCAACATGGACGCCGAAAAGGATGTGTAAGTAGATACATAAATTACATATTTTAATATAATAAATATGTTAAAATTATTTTCTTTTCAGTATAATGAAAGACGGAGAAAATAATAACGAGGAAACAGCGGCTCTGAGGGCCGAGGTAGAAAGTCTGCGGCGACAACTCGCAGACATAACTCGGCCCTCAGGGTTACCTCAACAACCGGGGTTACCAAGGCCGTCAGCGTCGCAGCCGCCGGGGGCCACCAATGTCGCAGCCGCTGGGGCCGTCA